CGCCGCCTTCTCTTCTTCAGGCTAAACAAGCCCAGCTCCCTCAGCCTCTCCTCGTAGGAGAGATGTTCCAGTCCCCTCACTATCCTCGTAGCCTTGTAGCCCTGAGCTGGACTCTCTCCAGCAGAAGCAATGCTGTGAGCACAGCCATCCTACAGCAGGCAGGGGCAGGGAGAGAAGAATTCTGCATAACGCTTCGAACAGTGAGGTTTCAAAGCACATCAGCTGGCTGACTGTACTGGATCTTCAATAGCCACTGTATTATTAATTATTCTCAAACAAAATGTCCCTGTAAGCCAAACATGCCACTTCCAGGACCTTGAAGCAAACTGGAAAAATTCACCTAGACACAAATTCTGAAACTCCAATTGCCAACCATTTTGTTCTTTACCTAAAATTGATCTAAGTGTTTTTTTGTTGTTATTATTTATCATTGAATCATAGAATCTGGCCTTGAACACTTCCAGGGAGGGGGCATCCACAACTTCTCTGGGCAACCTGTGCCAGTGTTTCACCATCCTCATGGTGAAGAATTTCTTCCCAATATCTAATCTAAATCTGCCCTCTTTTAGTTTACAGCTGTTCCCCCTTGTCCTTTCACTACACACTCTTGTGAAAAGTCTCTCTCCTTCCTTCCTGTGGGCCCCTTCAGGTACTGGGAGGCTGCTAGAAGGTCACCCCGGAGCCTGTTCCCCGGCGGGAACAGCCCCAGCTCCAGCCTCTGATGGCTGGAGTTCCTTTGTGCTGCCCTTCAGGTGCGCTCCTGCTGACCTGTGACCCTTCTTGAGGCTCTGGGCATCTGCTGCTGGCACCAGCATCAAACTGGTAGCAGTGGGATGGATTGAGGTTCCCCTCCCCCAGTATCTTTATTTTAAAGCCCTCCTCATCATCTTAGCAAGCCTCTGACCAAAGATGCTCTTCCCTTTCTCTGACAGATGGACCCCATCAGCCCCCAGTAGACCAGATTTCTCAAAGCAAGTCCCATGGTCTAAGTAACCACACCACTGACTGTGGCACCGGTCCTGTAGCCATTTGTTGATTTGCCAGATTGGACTGGCCCTTTCAAACCCCTTCCCTTTGACTGGGAGGGTTGACGAAAAAACTACCTGTGCTCCAGAGTCCCTCACTGCCGCTCCCAGGGCTCTGTAATCCTTCTTGATACTCCTCAGGCTGCTCCTGGCTGCAACGTTGGGGCCCACATGAAACATGTATTTATGGTGACACTTCCCTCAGGAACAACAGCCAGTAACAAATGGAGGTTGAATTTTGCCACCTACATAAGTTAGCAGTCAGGTAAAACAGATGAGTAGCCATGTCTGTAGACCTATAAATTATTCGCTCACCTCCATGTTAGCCACATAGTAAGCGGATAATATACAGCCTTACATGAGTCTGTTCTTAAAAGTCCTCAGATGGGAGGTGTTATGGAGGTATGCATCCCATATTTAAATCAGATTTCCAGGTGGAATCAATACTCAAACAGAAAAACAAGTGACAGGCTGGCAGCTCCCCTGTCACCCTTTATGTGCTTTGCTGCTTTCCTGTGTTTGCAGAGCAAGAATATCCACAAAAAACAAAGGGAACGTTTGCCAAACAACCCTCTTTAATTGTCCCTTTTCAGTCAATTCACATCTCCAGTGATGCGAATCCCATGGGGAATGCTGCTGGCCAGTAAGGAAACCAGTGAGGAACTGCTTCTAGCTGGATGTAGTAGGTGGTGCGGCACGAAAACAAGGAATGTTAAAAACCGCTGCCAACAATGCTGTATTTATTATTTGAATGCATCAAAAATACTGGA